AAAAAATTAGAGGGAACATTGGCTGCAAGTTATTCAATAGTAATATGGTTCGACTTAATAATTAACTATGTTTGATAATTGTGTTCATAAATTTGAGTAGGCTTTCTAAAGGCCGAATTGTGTATGATTATTTATTTATTGCAAGTATTTTGTATTGATTTGTTTTTGACGTTTGTATTAAGATAACCGTGTCAACTGTATACTTCGAGTTGTGTGATTCTCTGGATTGAGGATACCAACTTGGCTTGAAAGACCGCGATATTGAACTGCTAATAAATATCTAGTGTGCAGTCGGTGTCGTCCAGGTCACAAAGAACGGCTGTTACATTAAAGTTATCGAATTTCTGCAAATAAAGTTATCGAATTTCCGCAAATAAAGTTATAGAATTTATGCAAATAAAGTCATCGGATTTTGCATAACTAAAGTATTGTCGAATGCCGGCAGGAGTACGGTTTAACGTCAAATTGGAAGAAATCATCCTACTATTGAACATTTAAACTTTGGGGTTGTTTGTTTGATGAGCACTGTAATTGTACATTATGGACGCAGAATCTGTTTCGAAATCAAATTTAGAAGAATTACGTGCTCGTCTGAAGGAATTATATCAAGATGCTGAGAGACTTATGACAGACTACAAAAATCGAGATTTGTTGAAATTGAAAAGTGCTGACATTGACAAACGGTTTACCGAGTATTCAAATGCGCATGAAATTCATGTGAGTACTTTACGTTCTGAAGAAGATCGGAGAAAGGTCAGCGAATTTTTCCAGTGTGAACTGCGCGAGTTTCGAGAATTTAATGTGCACTTACGTGATTGGTTCAAAAAGAGTGACGCTGATGGTCATAAATCATCGACACATAGCCCTGAAGCACGTTCTGTAATTTCTGGAAAAAGTTCCCGTCGTTCGTGTGCCAGTTCAAGTTCGAGTACTAAACGTACAGAAGCCATTGCCATTAGAGAACTTGCTCATGCTAGTATTTGGCAGCAGGTAGAAAAGGATGCCGCAAAAAAGCGAGAAAACGATGCGAAAATGGCAGCAGAAAAAATGAAATTAGATGCCCAACTTGAAGCCGAAAGACTAGAGCAAGAAGCACAAAAGCTGAAACGCGATGCTGAAATAAGAGCTATACAAATTGAAGAAGATGCTCAAAGTGGAACAAAGCGTTTGGAATTGCAGCATGCATATGAATCGGCCTGTATAGCAGCCGATGTATGGGGAAATGCTTCTCAGGGAGGCGAAGGTATGTCATTATATGAAAATATGTCTCGTTCACATTCACCTAATCAAATCCAAGAGTCTAATGAAATAGTGGTTCCAGTATTAAAGTCTCCTGATGTGAGACCTAAATTGCCAGCATCAGAGTTGTTATCACAATCTCGAGTCAGAATGGAAAATCCTGTACTAAATGTTAGAAGACCTGCTTCTGCTGATAATGTGCGAGATGCTGTGAATGTGAATATTTCTGATCAGTATGAATCATTGAACCGACCTCCGTACACAGAAGCACACATCCCACAACAAAGAATCACGTATGATCAATCGTCACCAAATGTGGAAAGTTTATTGGGCAATATGGCATCAATGTTGCAAGACGGAATTGATAGACCTCGACCTGAATTATTGCATTTCAGTGGAATAGAGACTGAATATGTCCGGTTTATCACTAACTTCAACCTGAATATTGATAGAAGAGTACATGATACAAGTACAAAGTTGTCATATTTGGTACAATACTGCGAAGGTGATGCAAGGGAACTGATTATGCATTGTACAATGTTGCCACCCGACGAAGGTTATAAAGAGACATGTGATTTGCTCCGAAAGACATACGGTCGACCAATGCTTGTGGCTAGAAAATATTCGGAAAAGTTGACTAAAGGACCATGGTTGAAACCTGGAGATAACGAAGGTTTGTTACGTCTTTCTCAAACATTAGAAGAATGTTTAGTCACTTTGACACATTTAAAATATTTTGGGGATTTGGATAATTTTGATACTATTTTGTCCATCGTATTACGACTTCCTCTCAAGTTGCAGAACAACTGGGAAGAATCAGTGGCAGAATTAGATGGACAAGATAGAGAAGTGAGATTTAAAGATCTTGTTCGATTTATGAAGAAAAAGGCTGCGGCTGCAAATACGCCTTATGGAAAAGCCTTGAGAGCTCGAAGGGAGCAAGAACAGCAATATCGTTTACGATTTCAATCATCGAATAGGCGAAAGATTCACGCTCATTCTACTGCTGTGACTTCAGCTGTTGACAGCAGTGTTACCAGTGCAAAACATATTGAAAAGGGAAGAGATGTCTGTCCTGACTGTTTGAAGACGTCACACAAACTTGTTGACTGTTACAAATTCCTGCAGAAGTCACACTGTTACCGCTTGAAGATTGTTAGAAAGGCAAGATAGTGCGATAATTGTTTTGTATATGGTCATATGTCGAGAAATTGTCGTAAACCACCTGCTTGTATTGTTGGCGGGTGTAGGTTGAAACATAATACTTTATTGCACAGAAGAGAACAAGAGACATGTACCCAGACAGAAAATGCTGCTGGTATAAATGAGTCAAAAGTTGAAGCATATGCGACTTCAAAAAGCTCAGCCGGATGTTTTTTGAATATTGTCCCTGTCAAGATCTGCGCCAACAGAAGAGAAATAGAAACATATGCATTTCTAGATGAAGGTTCTACTGCCTGCTTTGTGATAAGCGATTCTTGATCTATTGAAGTTGAGGGGCAAGAAAACGCAGTTTTCGTTGACAACTGTGAATGCCGGTACCAACATCACAAGATGGTTATGCGGTTGATTTTACTGTAAATCACTTGAGGTAGAGAAAGTGTTGATTTATCTCATGTGCTAACTGTTGATAGACTGCCTGTTAAAGCTAACTGAAGCACAATTTGATGTACAAAGTTATGCACATTTGAAGGGATTGAAGATTCCTACTCTGCCGTGTAAGACGTGATGTTGATGATTGGGGTAATGTCCCTAAAGCGTTTTGGACAATGGAGGAGAGACGAGGGAACACAATGAACCTTCGGCGAAGAAATCCATTTTAGGATGGTCATTGGTTGGACCAGCTTTATCTCACGAGAGGAAACAGTGATGTTCACATTCATTGCGTTCAAGTGCAAGAGGGAAGACTTGCTGAGTCAGCAAATCAATGTTTGTGGGAAAGTGATTTTAAGACGCTTCACTGTCGCCTATTCCCATCAATGTCTAAGGAAGACAAATACGCATTGCAATTGATGGAGATTTCAGTTGAGATCGTGGACGGACATTATCAGTTACCATTTGCCATGGAAGCCAGGATGTCCTGATTGCCAGACAATCGAAGTGTTGAGATGAAACGCTTTAAAGTATATTGAACGAAAATTGAAGAGTGATCCTGTTTTGAAAAGAAGTACTGTGATACTATGGAGAAATTATTAGTCTTGGATTTGCAAAACGTATCCCGAATGAATATAAAGTTGGCAATAAAGGTGCAGTTTGGTAATTGCCTCATCACCCTGTGGTTTCTGAACAAAAGCCAGGCAAGGTACGCGTTGTCTTTGACGCTGCATCACGTTGTATGAATACTTCCTTGAATGACCAACTATTGAGAGGCCCGGATTCGGCAAATTCTCTACTTGGAACACTTCTCCGCTTTAGACAACATGAAATAGCTATTGTGGCTGACATCGAAGCAATGTTCCATCAGGTGAAAGTGCACCCGAAGGATTGGAATGTATTGCGATTTATGTGGTGGCCTGGAGGTGATTTGTCACAAGATCCATCAGAATATTTTATGGTCAGGCACATATTTGGTAGCGTCTCATCTCCATTTTGCGCTAATTGGAATTTGAAGAAGACTGCTCAAGATCACCAAGATGAATTTGACGATGAAGTTGTCAAAGGAGTAGAGCGAAATTTTTATGTTGATGATTACCTGAATGGCTCATCTACTGTAAACCAGGGAATTCATATTGTTCGAGAAACGAATAAATTGTTGGAGAAAAAAGGATTTCATCTAGCAAAGTGGAAAAATTCCAATCCTGAAGTTCTGTCTGAGATCCCTGCTAAAGACAGAGCAGACTCTGCGTCAAGTGTAGATTTAGAACCTGAAAAGATCGATCGAGTACTCGGAATAAAGTGGAATATCCAAAAAGATTGTTTTGGATTTGATGTTAATGTGAAATCAAAACCCGCAACAAAACGAGGGATTTTGTCTGTACTCAGTTCGATATTTGACCCGATGGGAATAGTGGCACCTGTAATACTTGAAGCGAGGATTTTGATGCAGCAGTTATGTCGAAATAATTATGGATGGGACGATGAAATATCGAATAGTGAAAATTTATTGTGGAACAGACGGCTCGAAGATATTCCTGGACTTGAGAATATATTCATGCAAAGATGTTTTGCGCCTTCTGGTTTTGGCAATATTGTGACTCGTCAAATACATCATTTTGCAGATGGCTCTGCAGTTGCCTATGGGACTGTATCGTATTTGCGACTAATCAATGAAGATGGGAAGATTCATGTTGCGTTTCTTTTAGGAAAAGCTCGACTTGCACCCATCAAAACTGTTTCAATACCACGGCTGGAGTTGACTGCTGCCGCTCTTGCAGTCAAATTAGATTTATTCCTGAGACGTGAATTAGACTTCGAAGAAAAAGAGTCGATGTTTTGGACAGACTCAACTTCCGTGCTTTTGAGTATTAATAATACATCACCAAGATTTCCAACATTTGTGGCAAATCGACTTGCAAAGATTGAAGAGAGATCGAATGCTTTGCAGTGGAGATATGTACCTACAGATTTGAATCCGGCAGACGATGCATCCAGAGGGTGTCGGTACAATCGTTGATGATGAACGATGGCTGAAGGGACCATCATTTCTCCAAGAGCAAGAGGAATATTGGCCTAAACCGCCAGTACAGTTACCTGAGCTTCCTGATGAATTTGTAAGATGCAAGCCACGAGTTGTTGCGAATTATGAGTTTGCTTTGAAGCCAATGGATAAATTCATTTCATATTTCTCAACATGGTATAAATTGAAAAAGGCAAGTGCATGGATGATTCGATTCAAAGAATACCTTCATAAGAAGAAGAAGAAATATAAGTGCAATGAGAAACTTGAAGTTGAAGAATTGCGAGTTGCTGGAGACGACATTTTGAAATACATACAGAGACAAGAATTTGGCGAAGTTATTGATGCCTTGCAGAAAGCCAATCATAGAAGTACAACTGGGAAACAAGTACTGAAGAGATTGAAGATTGCAAATTTTCTGCATAAACTCAATCCGATTATGAAAGATGGCTTCATCAGAGTTGGTGGGAGATTGAGAAATGCACCGGTTGATTTCGATGTTAAACATCCGATTATACTTCCACATAAACATCATGTAACTGAGATGATTATAAGAGAACATCATGTATCTACACATCATTCTGGTATGGGGAGTACATGGACTTCTCTGAGACAACGATTTTGGATCGTTAAAGGAGGCGCTATGGTGAAATCTGTTATCAGAAAATGCATGTTTTGTCGAAGAAGAAGTTCACCTGTGAGTAAACAGATTATGGCAGATCTTCCGAAAGAAAGAGTCACACCAGGTGAAAGACCATTTACCTATGTTGGAGTGGATTACTTCGGACATTTTCTTGTAAAGCAAGGACGAAGTACTGTCAAGAGGTGGGGCTGTATATTTACATGCATGACAACTCGTGCCGTACACTTGGAAGTTGCATACTCGATGGATGCAGATTCATTCATAAATGCGTTAAGAAGATTTATTGCACGTAGAAGTAGACCATTCAAGTTCATCTGTGACAACGTAGTAACTTCGTTGCAGCAAATAAAATCCTACGTAAAGAAATAGAAGTTGGAATTCAGGCAAAGTTGGACAATTTTTGCGTCAGGAGAATATTAAATTTCAATTCAATCCACCTACTGCTTCTAATTTTGGAGTTCGAAAGATTTTGGTTGCTCTCTTACACGATCAGTTGGTGTCAGATGAAGCTTTGGCTACTATTTTTTGTGAAGTGGAATCACAGTTGAATTCCAGACCCATCACTCCAATAAGTTTTGATCCGAAGGATGATGAGCCATTGACTCCAAATCACTTGCTGTTACTGAATCCTCCAAGTAATTTACCTCCTGGCTTATTCGACAAAAAGGATTGTTACACTCGAAGAAGATGGAGACAAATTCAGTATTTAGCTGATCAGTTTTGGATCAGGTGGACCAAAGAATACTTACCCACACTTCAAACACGACAGAAATGGACTTCGAAGGAACGTAATATGGAAGTTGGTGATATTGTGCTACTTGTGGACAATACTATACGAGAGGGAAGTGGCAGACTGGGCGTGTTATGGAAACTACACCTGATAAACTTGGAGCTGTGCGTCAAGTTACTGTGAAGACATCCAGAGGTTTACTGAGAAGGCCAATTGCAAAGTTGTGCTTGATTCATAGAGTTAATGAGTAAAATGTTTTCAAGTGTGTGATATCCTCGATGTAAGAAATTTGTGAGTAAGATGTTTTCACTGGGTTCCAACATCTGGCTGGGGGAATGTTACATCGAGAATCGCATTCACTTGATTTTTGTATTGACTTAAACATTGCGTCCGTTTAACTTGTGTAGTAATTTATTTGTTATTGTTGACGCCTAATTTCCCTTGATTGACAGTGTGCGTCTACACACTCTATTACGAAACAATTGAGAGAGTCTTCGTGGCAATTGCTCGCCCAGACATGTCTCGCTTAGACAGGGATAGTTTCGGTAATTTGCTTTAGATAGCGCTTTACTTTTGCAGAGAATGGCGCTCGTTTCGTTGTAATTTGTAAATAAGTTAAACTTGTTCAGCGACCTTGGCTTTCTGTTTTGACTGTAGGACGATTAAATAATGTAGATTATGGCTGCCCACATAGACCTAGTTAAGGATATTTTATGAGCATTTTGTGATTGATTTTACAGTTATAGTTTATTTAATTGATTTGTTCGGATTTCATTGACGAATGATTTCATGTTCAACTTATGATAATTTAAGCCTGGAATAGCAGACAAATTCGGTATGTTATAATTTGTAACTCTTTCTGATTTGAAGACTGCAAGTTATTCAATAGTAATTTGGTTCGACTTAATAATTAACTATGTTTGATAATTATGTTCATAAATTTGAGTAGGCTTTCTAGAGGCCGAATTGTGTATGATTATTTATTTATTGCAAGTATTTTGTAATTGATTTGTTTTACGTTTGTATTAAGATAACCGTGTCAACCTGTATACTTCGAGTTGTGTGATTTTCTGGATTGAGGATACAAACTTGGGGCTTGAAAGACCGCGTTATTGAACTGCTAATAAATATCTAGTGTGCAGTCGGTGTCGTCCAGGTCACAAAGAACGGCTGTTACATTATTGCGACATACTGATATGACAATTGTTTATGAAGTCAGACATGCTGCTCAATAGTGTTGTGCGGTGGTCGGCAAACTTCATGTCTATGCGGGCCAAATATACACATTTCCGGTAGCGCGCGGGCCGCAATATTTCCGCCTTCGATATATTAAACTTCAAATTATGGCGCATTCGCATTGCTGCCCTTCTATTGCTGTGTTAAAAGCCTGTTCCAATGAGATGTGTATGTGGCTTTTTTTGAATATATTATTCAACGATACATTGTTTTTATTTACTTATTATCAATGTGAAAGATGATGTTTTTATGGCAACTCGTCGTCCAAAATGATAATCTGACAAGCGAGTACGAAATTTAAATCTAAGTGTAATGAATTTCAGATACAGCTGCTCATGGCCATATGTTCTTCCGAACGTGCACATTACATGTTTTAAACGGTCGCACAGCTGTGGCGCAGTCCCGGGTCTCGGAGCCGAATTTTCGACGACTCGTTTTCATAACGAGTTTAGTTTAAAACATTGAAACCCTTACCATCTGCAATGCTGACTGGGCATATCGAGCAAACCGGTTTTGTAATGCCCAAGGAAGAAAAGTATTTTTCCGTTCAAGCACTTTGGAATGCTCGATCGAATTTTTGTTTTGTCGGGTCGTTCGAGAGCCGCAACAAATTAGCTCGCGGGCCGCATTTGGCCCGCAGTTTGCCAACTCTTACTGTTGTGTTTGTCTGGTTTACTGTTGAGTGCTGTTTTTTAGTTGTAGGGCTTGTGGTTAGATTGTAGAGGTTTTATTACGGCCTTGTCTATTTTTGTGTCACCTCTCTGCGGACCGGCAGTAACCTTTTCGCGGACCGGCAATGGGCCGCGGCCGGTGGTTGCCGACCACTGGCCTATAGCAAAATCAAAAGGATTGCTGTAAACTTGATAATGAACTTAACAGTCAACAAGCCTAGGCCGACGGTTAAATGCCACTACACCACCCTAGTTAGTCCACTTTAGGCTGAAGTTGTCGCGATATCGAACGGTCAGTTGGGCGACAACTTCACGTTCCATAGATCGCTATGGCGACCATTTTAGACGCGTTTTGATTCCTTTTCCACAGAACACTTTGAAGACGCTCGCGGAACACAGTTTGGGAAACGCTGCAGTAGATAATGATGCTGCTTCTTAGGCATACTTAGTTGAATTTAACAGAATGCCCAAGAGTCTGTACAAATGTTCCCCACACACTTGACAAAAGTTTTTTGAAGAATTTTGGAGTTAAGTTGTGAGCCGCTATGGCAATTCTTAGTCGCTGAATAAAAACTGAATGTGCAGATTATAGGACTTATTTAAAAGCTCTAGATATCCAAGATAAAACACGGTCTACTTGTAAAATAAATTTTCTGAAAGACTAGATAAATGTTAATTAATTATGTATACCTAGGTTAAATTCCAGCAGGGGAGAGTGCGATGATGTTTAATAATATAACATTATCACAATATATTACGTGTGCATGCTTGCATTGATGGAATTCAATTCTGATCTTTGGTTCATTTCTTTTATGATTACCTTATCTATTTCTAGTTTTATTTCACCACGTCTGTCATTATGGGAGCTCTTAGTTTTGTAATTTATCTTTGGCTGAAGTCAATTGAAGCTCTTTATATTTACCCGCATGGTGGTGATGCGTAGCGCGCTGGAAACTCGAAAAAAATACGAATAAAGAGGTTGATGATATGGAACCTAGCGCACAGCATAGTATCTCATACTCAGAATTCTTTATTCGCAGTCTTGTGACACAGCTCCGTGGCGACATAATAAATTCTTTGTCGTATAATAAGTCCTATTGGGTAGTGGGGCAATATCCTCCCTCGCCACTTCATCACAGTTGTATTTGTAGTTATTTTTAGTTAATAGATTGTTACAAAATGAGACACGCCTTCAAGGGCACACTAGAACTATACTAAAAACGGGTAAAATATTCATAAATTATTGTTTTCCGCCAGTTGATTGAGTCGATACTGCGACTTCAATTTTACGATACGTGAATCCTCATGAATTTGACCTCTTGATTTGCTGTTTTTCTTCCATTATTGAATTTATTTCGGTCCTCGTTAAATCAAGCAACGCGGTTGATTTCCATACCTTTTTTTTCTTCACACAAAAACCGCCTTGAAAATATGTGATCTTTCGGAAAGTTTCCGCACATATGAGTTATACTAGTGTAGATAAAACAAACTGCGTCAAGTGCCCAATTGAACTAGATCAAATGCCAAATGAGCATGACCTTACACCGTCGCCTAGTTTTAAGCGTTGATTTGCCCTCTTACGCAAGCCCAAACCAAACCATAATGCCAAAAAGTTGGAAGTCTGATGAATATATACTTCGGGGCAACAACATGTTTGCAAGAAGTTGTGAGCATCCGATACATATATATATGCTGTATTATATATTTTATAATTTTCATTGTGTAATGTCCATTCATTGTATTCACTGTGTACGTACCTTAGCAACTTCTAATACTTCTACAATGGGGAATTTCTCAACGGTTGGGAACCACTGCTTTAGATAGACATTCGATGTAGCATATGGCACGCGCATGGGCATTGATATAACCAATAGCCTGTCGAGTCTGTGAAGTTTCAGTATTGTATAAATTCTGGTTCAGACTGCCTCTGAGTATTTCTATCGATAAAACACGGAATCGCAATCCTTTTTCAAATCTTTAACAGAGATACAATCATCTGAAGAATGTTTTTTGAAGGGTTTAGCATTTGAACTAACAATTTCTATAATATGAGAAATAATGCCTTTGAAATATTTGATTAACAATAAGTATACATCTTATCCGTAAATCCATTCTAGACAATCGAGTCGAGTTGGCAAAACCTTCGTTTTAAATGTCGTTTTTGAGCTTTGAGAAGTAGAATCCAAATTGAAATGTTATAGGTAAACTAATGATATAATATCAGAAAAAAACGTTAACCATATCAAATTAAAAATCATCAACACTTCATGAGCGAAAAGTAACACTTTGGCCAATGTCAGCTGCGTTCGCAGCGCTTGCATTTTCGATGAGCGAACATGCCGCGCTGGGATGAAGTGCGAATGACATGTACTGCAAACGAGTATTTCGAAGAGTGCGAAAGAAATTTTGCTATATATACTGAACATCATCGATACTTCAATCAGCGAACAGCTCGAGCAAGCAACAAGTATACAAGCAAATGCGGTAGCAGCAATACAGCTAAAACGGATTGTATTATGATTGCGACACAGAGTATAGAATATACACACACTTAGAGCAAAGAGATGAAAACGAAAAAGCAGAGGCAAAATATTGGTTATTACAAAGAGAATTAGTCTGAAAAAAAAGCGTTGAATGGAACAAATTGTACATCAGAGTTTATGGTGTTGGCTGACCAGCAATTCTTGACCTATTTCATTTCTAATACTTGCAATAGGTCAAAATTTGCACTTCAGACAACACTACCATCAGCAAAAATTTGACGATCTTTGAGGTGAGTGAATTAGAGTTCCAATACACTTTAGACGGTGCAATTCAAAAATCCTGCTGCACACTAACACAAATGTATTTTATTGTTGTAAACAGCTTAGCTTGCCTGAGGTCAGACGAAACGTTACAGAAATACATTTGCTGTTAGTGTGCAGCAGGACTCTCGAATTGCATAGTATGGTTATGTTTATTCCTGTTACAGCAACCTTTCAATATACGCATACTGGTCTACTAGCGCAAAGGTATTGAGGAAGGATTGGGAGTTAGTCTCGTGTAACCTCCACAGATAGTACAATTTATACGATTTGAGAAATACATTTGAAGCAGTTGCACACATGCCTAACTTGTCTAATTTAATTTCAATAAAACATCGGACATGATTATGCACAAAATTATATTTTGTTTTTATGGTCTACTTCGACATCATCTAATTATGGCATATATTTTACGGTATTTAAAATATAAGCAGATGTTCCATCCGTACCCTAGCTTTTGGCGAATCACCCT